AGAGAGAGAGAGAGAGAGAGAGAGAGAGAGAGAGAGAGCCAGACTGTTTCCTTGAACTTTCGCCGACTCTTCAGGAGGTTGAAGCCCGACAGTCTGCCCAGGATGCATTATATACTGATGGATAATAAGGAGTATTAAGGACACACCAGGACTCACCACGCCACGGAAAGTTAGCGAGAGGTCGCGCGTGCGCTTCACGACCGGAGAAAGCCTCCGTGCATGCGTGTTTCGCAGCATCAGCGCTTCACAACAGGAATGCAGTCATCTACAAATAAAACAAACAAAAGGAAAACGGGAGAAATGAAAACACAAAAAACCAAAAACACCAGCAACAACAACAACAAACGGACAGGCAGGCCGCCATGCATTCCAGGATCAGGCCTGCTAGCTATCCGTTAAATCGAAAAGGCGAAAAGTTGGGTCAAGCTCTCAGGAGCTATGCCGAGCAGTCGCCTGGCCCGGCACGCCCGGGCCTGGGCCGGTGCTGGGCAGTTGCCTGGCCAGGCACGCCCGTGCCAGCTGGGCAGGGGGGACTCGCCCGGGAAAATCAGGCGGGTCAAAAAGATGCAAGGATCCCCCACCCCCCCCCAAAAAAAAAAAAAAGACATCAGGCCAGGACTGCACTGGGCCTGAGCAGTCAGAGTCGGGCCTCACCCTTCCATTTCGGTGACGGGTCACCCAGGGGGCCCTCGGGGGGTATAAAGTTATAAACAGGGACTAAAGCGGTTTAAACTTTAAACTTTAAAAGGGTATAAAGTTAAACTTTAAACTTTAAAAGTTTAAAGAGGTATATCTTATCTCATGTTTTCTTTTCATTTTTTTTTCTCAAAATTAATAACGAATGTCGAAGGGACCCTCAGCCCAAAGTTGTTTTTGTGTTGTAACTTGTAAGTTTACACACACTTTTTTTAAGTTTTCTAAACTTTTAACTTTTTTTTTTTCGGATTGTTTTAATTTTTTTCTTTTTTCTTTTTTCTTTTTTAATATTTATTTTGTTTCATGTGTTGGGACTGCCCGGATCCTGCACAGCCTGCCCTGCCCGGGTTGCCGGGCCGCCCGGGACCACCACCGGTCAGGGCCCAGCACTTTTTTCATGTGTCAGAACTGTATGTACCGCAAACCACGTTGGCATATGCTTTAGCATAGAGACACAATTAACCAAAGTGTACTCAACCGAGGCCTTCCTCCTTCATCTCGATAATAACAACGATAAAGAGGTTTGTGGCACTCGCATGCACCTCAGCAAGGCAGACAGTCTGCATGTCCATTTCGCCGCTTCGACGGTGACTTCTGATGGTCCCACTGCCCGGGGACCCTGCCCAGTGCCTGCCTGGGTAGGTACCCTGGCGACCTTCCCCAAGCCGAGCCGCCCGGGACCACCACCGGTCAGCTGTCAGAACTGCATATACCACAGACAGACTGCTTAACCAGGTTGGCATATGCTCGCGTTGCCGAGACGAGAGGCAGGATTAACCAAAGTGAAAACGAGCTGTGCTCACCTGCGCCTCAGCAAGGCAGACAGTCTGCATCCACTTAGCTGCCGCAACAGTGACTTCTGGTGGCCGGACTGCTGGTAGAGCAGGCTCCCATGGAGGCAGAACCTTCTCAGCCAGGAAAGCAAACACGCCTGCCGCTCTGTTCAGATACCTGCTGGCCGCTGCAAGGTCTGACGAGTGCATGACGGCATTCCCCCCCCAAAAAAAGAAAAAAAAGAACAACCAACAGGCAAAATGTGATCAGACAGGTGAATGTAGAACCTAGAGATCCACCAGGGGAAAAAGTTAAAAAAACATAATAATATAATAACAAAAATAAATTTTAAAAATAAAAAAATGCACAGAAAAAGAGAGAAACTTGATAGACATGGTGATTCAACCAACTGATCCTGCTCATAACACAATTGGTTTTCTTGAGAATTTATTGAAAATTTATTCCTACCAATCCATCCATTACTCGAAATCGTATGAATTAGGAAAAAAAAAAAGAAAAAAGATTTGACCGAAAAGGTGGTAGGCATGTATGAACCAGGGAAAAGCATAATAAGAAAGTTGGGAGTTTCTGGTGGAGCATTGCTGGTGCCACCGCTGGGCGATAATAATAATAATAATAATAATAATAACAACAACAACAACAACAACAACAACAACAACAACAACAACAACAATAATAATAATAATAATAATAATAATAATAATAATAATAATAATCAGCTAAAATAGTTAAAAAAACCCTAAAAATAAATAACTTGCCAAACTGGGACACCCAGCCAGGCAGAAAGACCCGTCCACATCACCCTGGGCAACTCAAAAGAGCTGTTCCCCCCCCCCTCCTCCTCTCCTCTTTTTCGATTTAAATTTAAAAAAATAACGGGATCGCGGCCGGAACATTTCCGCGTTCATGGTTACGAGTAGTAAAGGTTTCGCAGCGTAGCCAATGGGATCACACGTGATAGCCGACTACTCTATTCAGAGTCTCAGACTATTTGTAGTGTAACCAATGGGATCGCAAACACCAATGGGATCACATGTCGCACGTGACAGCCAATTAGTCTATTCAGTGGGGACCACAGTCTGTAGGGAGTTGATCGGTGTAATCCCCCCCGAGGAGCCCTGTTAAAGGGTCCGTCAGTGGGGTTCATATTTGCTTTCCGAGAGTTCTTCGTCCTTCTTCTTCTTCTTCTTCTTCCTCTTCTTCATCGTCTTTTACGTGCTGATTGCAGAATTTTTGTTGCTCTATGAAACCAGCATTTTTTTCTGTCACAGCTTAATCTGCCTACAAATCACCGATAGCGAATTGACCTGCTGTTTGTTTTTGAGCTTTTGATGAATCTGCTATTGTTTCCGCGATCGATTTCCATGACAGGCAGTGCAGCCGGCATTTCCAGGATGTCGGTACTGCGACGGAGGAGGGTTGGTGGATAGTAGTGTATGTGGCATTCACAAACAGCTGCGAGGTTGGCGAAACCCCCTCAGGAGGATCACCTGGCGGCGATCGAAACCGGTCGCGGAGACCTGGGACAGTACCGTGCTCGCTCGGAATATCGTTGCTTATCTTGAGACATATACTTTCGATCATAATCATATTGGTATATCTTGTTGCATGTGGCCTTCGACATATGATGACTTTGACTTTTGATGAATGAAGTGTGGATTGCCCATCTACATCTTACTCACCAACTGGACTGGGAGTGGATGCAGGGCAACTCCCTACCGACGGACTACGAGGGACCTCTACTGTTCCTAACGCAACGTGCTACTGCTACCCTACGGGACAAAGCAAATGGGACACGGTACCGGGGCCATACTGCGGCCGCACGTAAATTCTTTGACACCAGTTTCACCCGAACCGAAGCTAGGTCGGGCCGCAGTATGGCCCCGGTACCGTGTCCCATTTGCTTTGTCCCAGGTCCCAAGCAGTATGCTCTTACCGCTCTTACCGGTGTTTCAAGTAAGAGCATACCGCTTGGGACCTGGGACAGTAGCGTCCTGTGCAGGCAACTACTCAATAAGGCACAGAAGGAGGCTTGCAAGCCTCGGAAGGTAGCTGCGTACAATATGCTCAGCAGAACCTTTCTTTGTTTTTCTTTTTCTTTCACATCGCCAGGTCATGCTGCAGGGCTGTACGGATCTATGACTAACTGAACTGTTGGATTAATAAGGGACTAGATTACCTGTTGCGGCTTCGATCGCAAAAGCAAATATGACGGGTGATTCATTCATGGTGGAGGCCATTGATCGATGCAAACTCTCTCTCTCTCTCTCTCTCTCTCTCTCTCTCTCTCTCTCTCTCTCTCTCTCTCTCTCTCTCTCTCTCT